GTTTCATTCAATTAAAGTTCAAAGTCCTATTCACAGTTGAGTCCAAATTACAGGGATTGAGCTCAAAAATATTCAAACAATAAGACTAATTTTTTCTAATTTTTTTTATTTTGTGCACATAGATTGAATGTTTAATTTGCATCATTTATGACATTCACTTCGTGACCCTATAAATGGGAATGTTATGATTTTGATCTCACTTGTAACCTTAGGTAATATATACCTTCCATTTTTAAAAAAAAAATTTCATATGATTATATTCATAATTACTGCTTTGTAAAAAAAAGTCCCACCTAAGGAAATTAAATACAAAAAAGATCTCTTAAAATCATCAAATTATTCTAAAATCCCAAACAACCTCATTGCAGTAAAAATTTTATTTGTTGAATTACCAAAATTGCTTTATTTCTGTTTAAGCTTGCATTAACAATAAAAGAGCAGTCATCAACAACTTAAGATGTAAAAATTAACAACCATCACAGCAGGTATTGACAACATATTTTCTCAGCACATCATAAAATATAATACGTAGTAGGTATTGACCTACCACGACAGTTGTTTGTGAGCACATTATAAAATATAATACATGAATTGTCAATACTTGATGCGATAGTTGTTAATCCTCACACCTTAAGTTGTCAACGACTACTCTTTCAGTTGTCAATGCAAACTTAAAAAACAATAAGGGCAATTTGGTAATTAAGCAAATGAATTCTCTTGCAATGAGGTCTTTTGGGATTTCAGAATAATTTGATAATGTTAAGGGACTTTTTTGTATTTAATTCCCTTGAGTAAGATCTTATTGTAATTTTCCCAATATATATGTGTGTGCCAAAAATCCCTTTTCATTTATTCATTTCGCGATGGATGTGGAAATATCACCATAAGAGCCACAAAAAGGGGGGGGGTATCTTTATTCGATGCACATTATAAAAACTCAAAGAAGCCGTAGTTATGAAATATAAACATATAATTACGACTCATTGTAGTAGATAAAGGATCTGGTTGTGGTGTGTGCGTCACATGATAGAGCAAGAATTGTTAGGGTAAGGATCACAAACGACTCGTTGGTAGTAAGGAGTTGGTGGATAGGGATTATAATATCCCACATATTCAATTGGCTTCACTTCTTCTTCTTCTTTCTTCTCTTCTGGTTTCTCATCTTGCACACTCACAATTGTAGCATGCCCTAGCTTCTTCCTTAGCACGTTTGTCAACTCGACCGAGTCAACTCCATCACCCCTTACCACCACTTGGTCTCTTCCTTCTCCTTCTATTGACACCGAGATCACTCCTGAAACACGATATATTATTCTTGGCTTGTCAGATATGAATGAAAGTCATAATGATATATATATATATATATATATATATATAGAAAATGAACTTAAAACTCTAATGAATCCAATTATATATGTACTACCTCCGGTCCTATTTATAAGATCTCGTTTATAGACTATAAACGAGGTCTTATAATTAAGACCGGAGGTAGTATCTTTTTAATTATCATTTCTGCCAGCTCAATTTACATTATTATTATTGGAATCCCCGTATTTCAAAGCCAGAAACGTTTTTTTTTTTAAAAATTCAGAATGAGGAGAAGAAGAAAATTAAATGTTGGATTCAAAGTCACCTGCTCTCACTGCTGCAATTTTCATGGCCTTGCTTCTGCATTTCTCATTGCGGACTTCCACCTTTATAATTATCTTTTGCTGAACCAATCACAAAACACATATATACTTCAATCGTTACACACCTCCACAACTAAAATTAGCCAGTGTGTGGGATCAAAAATCAGTTTAGAGTAAACTCACCAGCATGTTGAATTCTGAAACAAGCTGATGGAACACAGTATAATAAAATATTTCAGATGTTGCGCAGAGAGAGAACCTTAAATTCTGATCTGATTGATGATTCTGGGTATAACTGAATACAAGTGAGCTTAAATACACGTACCAACTGGTGAGATTTATTTTATTTTTTTAATATTGACTTCAAGGTCGCCGAGAGGTAAACCAAAGGTCCAAAACTTGCAATTCAGGTCAAGAGATGAGTACTTGGTGAGTATTAGTATATTGCAGATTAGTTGTGGAATTAGTCTTACTTCAATCATTAATTTGCCCCCTCGTTCCGTGATCGAAGTCAGCGTTCACAGGTGCCATGGAAAGTCTTGCTTTTATGTTTCTTTTTTCAGCCAATTGTGATTAGGTATTATTTTCTATCACCAGGAAACGTATATAAAATATAATTACGGTAGGTTTTTCCGCGTTAATACTTAACATATTCCTTTCAATATATATATATATATATATATTGCTGTTAGTTTCACGTGTCTTTAATTAATAGTCATAACTAATAAGGGTCCAAAAGATGATCAGTATGAACAAGGGACATATATACCTATATATTATTGAGCATTGAACTATACTTTTGGTGTATATATTATATATAAGCGTCATGTTGGTCGTTCAATTTAATTACGCCTCCGGTCCTTAATATAAGACCTATTATTCATATTTATTAATTTTTCTAAATTACTCCTATGGATACTCCCTCAATCCTAATCAAGAAAGTGAGAGAGTGAAGATCTTAGGAAAGATCATTATGATATTTTAGGAAAAATATGTCATATTTTTTATAATTAACTAACTTACCTAACTTCCTTAATCTAATCAAATTAGTTGAATAGGTCTTATATTAAGGACCGGAGGAGTATATGGGCAATTATTTTAATGATTATCTAGATTTTGATGTTAATTAGAATGACACTAACATTGATTTTAAAAATAAGAACTACAATTTAGTGGCGGTGCTAACTGCAGAGTTATATGGTTGTAACGTTGGCGTTGTCGCAGAAAATGAATGGAACAAAGTGTTGAATAAGACTCATAATATGTTGATAATGCTCAAATAACGCAGAAACGAAAATGCAGAAACGAAATGAGCGTAACAGAAATTACAGACTGTCAGAAAAGAGAGAGAATGACCGGAGAGAGAAAAGAATACAACTAAAATCATCCACACCCTCCCTAACCGTTTCTATCCCTATTTATCATGCGTTCCCTCCATAACGATGTTAGAAGTTTCAATATTGAGAAGGAAAAAAAGAAGTTTGTAGTTAAATTTGGAAGGATAATCAAAAGACTTAAAAGTTTAAAAAGGCTAAAGTATACTTTTATTCCTTTAACTTTACACAAGATTTTATTTTGGTCCCTTAACTTTAAAAAGTAAACTTTTAATCCTCGAACCCTAAACTGTTAACAAAAAATAATGATATTAAGCTCTTGAATGCTGATTATAAAATTACTAAATACTAACATATTAAATTTAATATTCAGAACAACTATATTGTTACAAAAAATATCATTTAACACTAATAATTTTGGAGTTAAAGGATTAAAAGTACATTTTTAATAGTTAAGAGAACAAACTCAAACCTTACATAAAGTTAAAGGACTAAATGTATACTTTAGTCTTTTAAAAAAGATTAGGCTAAGTAGATTAAATTATACAAATTCAGCTCCTTTTTTTTTATTTTGGGAGAGGTTAAATGGGTTAATAAGTCAGCACCCGTATTATTGACTCTACTCTTACCTCACAATCAGTTGATCTGATTTTCAACTCCATGTAAAATCAACTCTTAAATTGAGTGATTTCCCAATATGATGAGTTAAATAAGTTGCGGAATCAAATAAGGATATCCCTTCAAGTTATTCAGATTTGACAGTGGCATACAATCTGGTGCAAGGCATGAGCAATGAAATGAAACGCAGAGCTCGTGTCCATGATAAGTGTGAGCGTCTTACCAAATAAACCAGCCTCATTCCAATTACTGAAGACAATCGCGAATTAGGGTCAATGAGAAACAACCGGACGTTTTACAGATGAATGCTAACTAAACGACTAAAACTACAAGCTCAGTAACATAAAATGTAGGAAGCGAAACGACTGAAAATCAGATTCGCAATTCGGAAGAGACCTGGACAAAGTTGAGAGATGTTTGCGAACATCGAAATCTCCTTCTGCATTAGAGTAGTAAATCAACGTGTAGAAGAGAAGTATCGCGAGAGAAAGCAGAGGATGCTTCATTGTCGCTGAAGTTAACTGTACAATCGCGTCCACACAGAAGTTTCGAATTACTACAATTTACGGCAAACTGAAAAGTGACAGTGGAGAATGTTTTGGCTTCCGACTCAGCAGGAACCGAACGCGCAACGAGTGGGCTGGATGCTTGGGGCTTTTGGTTGAACAAAATGGCTAATAATTATCCGACCTTAATTATAAAGTACTACCTCCTAACCTCCGGACTAATTAACTGATTTGAATAAGTTAAAAAATTAGTTAAGTTAATTATTTATAATAAATAGGTATTATCTTGCTGAAAATATCCTTACTAGTCAAGTGCATTGGCTAGAATTACCATTATTATAAGTACCATCTTGGATAAAATGAATAAATATGAAAGATAAAGTAGATTGATATCTTATATTTAGGGTTAAAATAAAAATCAAACAAACTCTCATATTAAAAACCGAAAGTAGTAACATTTGAAAAAAAAAATGTCACTCAGAATTAAAAATATGCCAACCCTTTTTTTGGCCCGAACATGCCACACCTTGGTGTAATAAGCAGAGCAAATTTTTTTTTTTGGGGGGAGGGGCGGGGCGGGAATAGGTTACTAAGATAAAAAATCTATAAAAATTTTCTTAGGACAAAGTTTAAGTCAGATTTTTTTTTGTAATAAAGTTCGTTTTCCAATCAGACATGATAGGTGTATTGTGCAGGAAAAAAAAATGAATTTGATCTTACTTGTAACAAGTCAAGCTAAGTTTTATCAAAATTCACCAAATGAAACCCAACAGAAAAAATTGTTCTACAATTTCATTATAGTTGCTTTCTCCCAGGCTGAAAATTTGTATAGCGGCATCAACAAGGAAAAAGGGCTAAATGAACCCCCTGGTAGCCTAAAGCTCATCTTTGCCGTTGTTATCCCCTTTTCCTTAGTCACCTGTGTGTTCTCCCTTCCCATTACAGAGTGTATAAAACTTATGCTTCTCATGAGGCCCATATACCGTTTCCTGTATAAGAGAACATAGAAATCAGAATACTGCAATTGAAGGATTCCACAACTACAAAGTACGGCATGGCTGATCTGAAGCATTAGATTAGGATTATTCAAAATACCCTGAATACTTCAAATGCACAGAAATCAAAATGGTGACAAGCCTGTACCAAAAACAAAAAGCACAAATGATAACAAAATTAACAATGCTAAGTTTAAAATTATGGAAGGTCTAAACTGTAGCTAAGATTCAATTTGAACTTGGCATCATGTCAGATCAATTTCAAAAGCTTACTGGCATTGGCACGGGATGTTCATTGTGCAAAACTTGCACAAAGTAGCTGCTGGTGGATTTCTCTGTTGCCGGACAACTATAGAGGATCAACATGTTGTTACTAGCAAAAGGTACCATAGTGCTCCCCCGCCATTTTCTTTTCTGGGGAGGCACTTGAGGGAGCCGCCCACGTTGCTCCTTTTGAATTTGCTCAAATTGATGCTAACTATAAGCACATTGCAAGTAGCAATTCCAAAATGCCACTTCCGATCTTTAATATAGAGTTGTATTTGGTTCTATGTATAAAACCTCAATCTACTTTATTATCCATGTTTATTATTTTTTACCAAACTAATTTACCAAACTTATAAACTGATATATAACATATTGTTACGCATGGTTATTTTAAAGAGGGTAAGTCAAATTTGTTTTAGTTAACTAATTTATTTCATTTCCTCAATCGATCCAAATTAATTAAATAACTCTTATATTAAGGATTGAAGAGAGTAATATGATTTATGGTTTAGTTTTCAGTTATTGATGCTATCACTCTAAAAGTCTCACCAGATCTTTCAAGAAAAAGACCGAGCAAGCATGAGAAAGGAAGTAGAGTTTTAGCATGGGCAAACCGAAGTCTTTCCTTTTCATAGCTTCCAGGAGTTCGTTTTTCTACCCCAAAAAAAAAAACCAGCAAAATGAAAATATGCCAAAAGAAAATTTCATGCAGACATCATTCAAAAGGCAAAACAACTATATATGCTACATGACCATTTGTAAGACCATATGTAAATACTATTACATGTTTGGTACAGTAGAACAACATGATAGCTAGAGCTTATAAAACTCTTATAAGACCTTTACTTGACAACTTTAAGTCACTTTGTTAGAACCCAATTGCAAGGTGTAGGATTTGAGTCCCACACTAAACACACAAATTCTTAGCTTTGAACCTTCTAAACTCATGGACTAGCTTTTGGGGTCACGATTCTCCAAATGTTTCTATCTCCAAATGTTTGGCTCATCTGATGGGGGAACATTAGATATTATTAAACTATTTATAATCTTTACTTAATTGTTTGACAAAAATTATATGCGCGTGTGTGTATATAAAAACTACTTTCTTTAGCCTGAATAGCTTGCTTCATGGATTCAACAACATCTTTAAGTAAAGGCACCGCCATTCTATAGTTTAGTGAATTTCCATAACCTTTCAATATATACAGCTCCGCATCATCCATCCACTCTAACAAAGTAATCTAAAAGGACACAAGCAAAACCAACATTTCAATGAGCATTCAATAGTTAGGGCTAAACAGATACCAAATCAAACTTGGCCTTGTATAATCAAATTTGGAAATTGTTTCCTGGTCCTGACTCCCAGATCATATAATTCCTTCTCTCCTATGCTTATTAATTCACCACCATGGATCCGTCCTTTCTAAGGAGATTCCCATTCACGCAACCATTAAGGAATTCTATCCAACGGTATATTTTGCTTTTTTGCATCGCTCGTCAGTGATTTTGGACGACGTTCCAAACGATCTAGTTCCTTTGTCCTTTTCTTTGTAGGAGATCAAGTTCCATGTCTTGCCTGAGAATATGAAGCAGCATTAGCATCCATCATTAGTGATTAAATTGCCACGGATAGATCATGTTGAAAGGCAAGAAAGTTTTTCATAAAGCAGACTGTTTGTCTAAGTTTTCGTCCTTCCATATCTATGGCGCTATGATTTTTAACAGTGGAAAGCTGAACAATGTCAGGGAAAGTTACCACAAGATTTAAGTGGATTGGAACACATCCTTCAGGAATATCAGAAGGAACAAAGGAATTATCAGCAATGGCTTTCGCAACTCCATATCTGCAGTGAGAATCAAAGAGCAATCAAACAATCTATCACAAACGAAAACTTCAATGCTTCAGCTTCAAGAAATTTTTAAAACCAACTGTTTCTATGGAATGAATTAGTATGCAGAGAAACTTTCAAACCTGTTTCAGCATATGAGAACATATGAGATAGAAATTCAGAAAGAACCTGGTCTCGGTAGAGAAACGTGGGCGAACATCGAAATCTAGTTATGCAATGGAGTAGAAGCTTAACGTGGACATGGAGTAGAAGCTTAACGTGGACCACAAAAGTATGACCAGAAAAAGCATAGCATGCTTCATTATTGCTGCAGCTTAACTATGCAATCGAATAACCAGACTGAAGTTTTGAATTACCACATCCGAAAGGAACGTTTTCTGAGAACTGTGAAGTCAACAGGAACAGGAGCACTTTGATCTTATGTCGTTTAAAACCAAATTTAATACTCTAAAAATGCAGCAAAGTAGCTTCCAATCAGAGGTCGATCTCAAGGAACTCAAGAGTCTAATAGTGTTATTAAGTGATTAAGTCACAACTTAGGGAAGAAATTAGGTGAATGCATTGGCAAATGAGATGAAATCATTTCTAGACTGTAATCAAATGCTACAAAAATTCAGAATTCAGAAAGGAGAATGGTTTGAGATTGGAAATTAATGAGATGAATGATTCCTAGGAGGTATAACTTTGCCTTCATTGCCTTTCTTGCATCAATCAGAATTTAAGAGCTTTAATTGAATTAATTTTTGATGAGGTAAGATTGATTAAATGGAGATCCAGTCACTTCCAAAAGAAATATTAACCAATACTTCTCAAGAATTCAATCACAATGTATAAATCCATAACTAGACCTAGCTAAAGAACCATACATCATTACTCTAAATCAAGAAGATAACTTCTGAATACAATTAACCAAATCTCAACTCACAGAAATGGACAAAGAGGGGTCTGAATCTAGAAACAAAGATTGACAACACAATCAAAATGTTACTGAAATTGAACACCTATAAACTCTAAACTCTTCCCTGTTTAACCATAGCTGAGGCTCCATTATAACTTCTAGAAATCCTTGAAGCTTAGCTGGACATGGAGGATGAAATACTCAAGCTGGAGGATAGGAACTCAGCGAAGCAATGGTGATGGGTGGGAAATGGAGGATCTGGACGAAGGGTTCCAGCCTGATCCAGAAATGCTGGGAGCTAGTGATCAAGATGAAGATGGAAACTTCCCCAAAACTGAATCTCAAAGCCTCCGTCTCCTAAAATGCTCTCCTTCCTTGTATTTAACACCTTTCAGTTGAAAATTAGTTCAGGATCCGCGTTCTAACCGAAATGGAGCTCCAAGATCCAATTCCATTCCCCCCCAAATTCTATCACGCGCCTTCTGGTTTAAATTGTTGATTTCTGTCATCCGCCGCGGTGCCTTACAAATACGATGTCGTTTGGATTAGTGACTCTGAGCTCCTTGTGAAACTTGGTCTGCCGTGGCGCCTATCCCAGAGAGTCCTCTGGCAAATCCGCCGTGGCACCTAAGATGACATGCCGTGGCGCCTCAGACAGAATGGCCAGAACACTGAAGAAGCTCCCTGAAACTCACACTAGACAAGGAATCAAAAGTACACACAAATAAAATAACATAAAATCATGCAAAAACACAAAGAAAACCTCACGACTTCCTTCACCAACTCTTATGCATAATGAAAACTAATTATACCCAAAATATGCACATATAAATGCCAAAAGCATGAGTTTAAGGCTAGAAATATATGCAAATAATGAGGCTTATCACACTTCCTGGTTCTATATGCATGTGTGTGTGTTTTGGGTTGTTGGTCCAACAATTCACATGTGTTACTAATTTTTTTATCCTATTCATAGAAAAGGTAAATAATTAATTAATACCACTAGGTTCGCACCTTCTCCGGTCCTTTACATTATTGACTTTTTGAAAATTTGACCATTTTGGTTTTCACAAGTTTAAGTAAGTTATAACTTCAGTTCTTAAACTTTCAATTCTTATCGTTTTGATTTAGTCAAAATTCAATCACTAAACTTTAATTCATTGCAACATAATCCTTATAGTTTTAACATTTAAAACTTTAATCCCTAACCTTCATGAAATATATAATTTTATTGTCTACCATATAGAGACCAATATTTGAAATGATTAAATTATAAGGATTGAGTTTAATTCAGTTAAAGTTCAAAGTCCTATTCACAGTCGAGTCCAAATTACAGGGATTGAGCTCAAAAATATTCAAACAATAAGACTAATTTTTTCTTATTTTTTTATTTTTTTCACATAGATTGATATGTTTAATTTTGCATCATTGTGACATTCACTTCGTGACCCTATAAATGGAATGTTATGATTTTGATCTCATTTGTAACCTTAGGTAATATATACCTTCCATTTTTTTAAAAAAAAAATTTCATATGATTATATTCATAATTACGGCTTTGAAAAAAAATGTCCCACCTAAGGAAATTAAATACAAAAAAGATCTCTTAAAATCATCAAATTATTCTAAAACCCCAAAGAACCTCATTGCAGTAAAAATTTTATTTGTTGAATTACCAAATTGCTCTTATTTTTTTGTCTAAGCTTGCATTAACAATTAAAAGAGCAGTCATCAACAACTTAAGATGTGAGGATTAACAACCATTACAGCAGGTATTGACAACATATTTTCTGAGCATATCATAAAATATAATACGTGAGTAGGTATTGACCCACCGCGATAGTTGTTTGTCAGCACATCATAAAATATAATACATGAATTGTCAATACCTGCCGTGATAGTTGTTAATCCTCACACCTTAAATTGTCAACGACTGCTCTTTCAGTTGTTAATGCAAACTTAAAAAAAAATAATAAGGGCAATTTGGTAATTAAGCAAATGAATTCTCTTGCAATTAGGTCTCTTGGGATTTCAGAATAATTTGATAATTTTAAGGGACTTTTTTGTATTTAATTCCCTTGAGTGAGATCTTATTGCAATTTTCCTAATATATATGTGTGCCAAAAATCCCTTTTCATTTATTCATTTTGCGATGGATGTAGAAATATCACCATAAAAGCCACAAAGAGAGGGGGGGGGGAATGGAATATCTTTATTCGATGCACATTATAAAAACTCATAAGAAGCCGTAGTTATGAAATATAAACATATAATTACGACTCATTGTAGTAGATATAGGATCTGGTTGTGGTGTGTGCGTCACATGATAGAGCAAGAATTGTTAGGGTAAGGATCATAAACGACTCGTTGGTAATAAGGAGTTGGTGGATAGGGATTATAATATCCCACATATTCAATTGGCTTCACTTCTTCTTCTTTCTTCTCCTCTTCTGGTTTCTCATCCTGTCCTCTTCTGGTTTCTCATCTTGCACACTCACAATTGTAGCATGCCCTAGCTTCTTCCTTAGCATGTTTGTCAACTCGGCCGAGTCGACTCCAACACCCCTTACCACCACTTGGTCTCTTCCTTCTCCTTCTATTGACACCGAGATCACTCCTGAAACACGATACATTATTCTTGGGTTGTCAGATATGAGTGAAAGTCATAATAATAATAATAATAATAATATAAATATAGAGAGAGAAAATGAACTTAAAACTCTAACGAATCCAATTATGTATGTACTACCTCCAATCCTATTTATAAGACCTCATTTATAGACTATAAACGAGGTCTTATAATTAAGACCGGAGGTAGTATCTTTTTAATTATCATTTCTGCCGGCTCAATTTACATTATTATTATTGGAATCCCCGTATTATAATTATCTTTTGCTGAACCAAAATCACAAAACACATATATACTTCAATCGTTACACACCTCCACAAGTAAAAGTAGCCAGTGTGTGGGATCAAAAATCAGTTTAGAGTAAACTCACCGGCATGTTCAAATTTTGAAACAATCAGATGGAACACAGTATAATAAAATATTTCAGATGTTGTGCAGAGAGAGAACCTTAAATTCTGATCTGATTGATGATTCTGGGTATAACTGAATACAAGTGAGCTTAAATACACGTACTAAGTGGTGAGATTTATTTTAGTTTTTTTGTATTGACCTCAAGGTCGCCGAGAGGTAAACCAAAGGTCCAAAACTTGCAATTCAGGTCAAGAGATGAGTACTTGGTGAGTATTAGTATATTGCGGATTAGTTGTGGAATTAGTCTTACTTCAATCATTAATTTGCCCCCTCGTTCCGTGATCGAAGTAAGCGTTCACAGGTGCCATGGAAAGTCTTGCTTTTATGTTTCTTTTTTCAGCCAATTGTGATTAGGTATTATTTTCTATCACCAGGAAACGTATATAAAATATAATTACGGTAGGTTTTTCCGCGTTAATACTTAACATATTCCTTTCAATATATATATATATATATATTGCTGTTAGTTTCACGTGTCTTTAATTAATAGTAATAACTAATAAGGGTCCAAAAGATTATCAGTATGAACAAGGGACATATATACCTATATATTATTGAGCATTGAACTATACTTTTGGTGTATATATTATATATACGCGTCGTGTTGGTTGTTCAATTTAATTACGCCTCCAGTCCTTAATATAAGACCTAATTGTTAAATTAATCTTGATCCTAAATGTAAGACCTATTATTCATATTTATTAATTTTTCTAAATTACTCCTATGGATACTCCCTCAATCCTAATCAAGTAAGTGAGAGAGTGAAGATATTAAGAAAGATCATTATGATATTTTAGGAAAAATATGTCATATTTTTTATAATTAACTAACTTACTTGACTTCCTTAATCTAATCAAATTAGTTGAATAGGTCTTATATTAAGGACCGGAGGAGTATATGGGCAATTATTTTAATGATTATCTAGATTTTGATGTTAATTAGAATGACACTAACATTGATTTTAAAAATAAGAACTACAATTTAGTGGCGGTGCTAACTGCAGAGTTATATGGTTGTAACGTTAGCGTAGTCGCAGAAAATGAATGGAACAAAGTGTTGAATAAGACTTGTAATATGTTGATAATGCTCAAATAATGCAGATGCTACAGAGCTATTCAGTGATGAAAATGCAGAAACGAAATGAGCGTAACAGAAATTACAGATTGTCAGGACAGAATAACAGAAAAGAGAGAGAATGACCGGAGAGAGGAAAGAATACAACCAAAATCATCCACACCCTCCCTAACCGTTTCTATCCCTATTTATCATGCGTTCCCTCCATATCGCGAACCTTACAAGTCTTCTTCCTGGCACGAGTGCTCCTTCTGACCACAATGGGCTCTTCGTTTGACATTGGGCCTTCCCTTTCACTGGATCTGAACCCACTGCACCTGGATCTGTTACAATACCGCCCCCATTAGATTGGACCTTGTCCTCAAGGACCAGTGATGGGTACAGAGCGACAATACTATCACGATCTTCCCAGGATGGATCAATAGCCCCATCCCACTAAACGAGCAGTTGTGGAATTTGGTGTTGACCACGTGTCAAGAGGCGAGTACCCAAAACTTGAAGAGGTTGCGAAAGTGGTCGTTCCAGTAAAGTCTGCAGCGGCAATGGAAGATAGGACTCTTTGGGCTCAGTTCCATGAAATTTTTTTAGTAATGAGACATGGAAGACTGGGTGGATTTGTGCGTGGTCGGGCAGAGCTAAACGATAAGCAACCTTTCCTACCCGTTCAAGAACTTGAAAAGGACCAAAATAAACCAGTGCGAGTTTCTGGAATCGCCGGAGTTGTACAGAATGCTGGCGGTATGGTTGCAGCTTCACTAGGACCCAATTAGCAACATTAAATTCCAGATCAGAACGCTTGGTGTCAGCGTAACATTTCATTCGAGCCTGCGCATGTTGAATATTTCGCTTGAGTATTTGAAGGACCTCATCACGCAACTCCAACTGCAAATGTATATCTGTTGGTGTATCCTCTATAGAAGAGTGTCAAATCAAAGGGGGCGGGTCACGACCATAAATGATTTTGAATGGTGTCATGCCCGTAGAATGATGAAATGAATTATTGTCCCATAGTTCTGCCCAGGGGAGAAGGGTTAAC